CTCAGAGAGGCCTAAAGGAGGAAAGTAAAGCCCCCAGGACCAGCAAACTTGGTGCCACACACCCAAGGCTTACTTGCTCCTACTCACCTCTGGAATCAAACACAAACTATGCCCTGGAAGCATGAGCAGGGGAGACGCTGCCAGCCCTCAGAGCACAGACAGAACACCGGGCTACAAGATGTTACTAAGTGAAAATGAACTAGATTGATTCAATCAGGAAGACTAAACATGTGCACACATTTCAAATGTTTCAATGTGAGATTCTGAAACCCAGACCACACTCTGAGGTTGGGGTAGTGAGTGTTGAGAGACCACGCCCAGAGCACGGTCACCCAGCATCACTCCCTTGTGGACTATCTGGGACTCATTCCAGGAGAGTGCTGTGGGGGTGAGGCTGTGCCACTCTGGGCCTCCACCTCAAGAAGGCCTGACACCCTTGGTTTTTGTTCCCTTAGGAGCTTTGAGCACCACTCAGGTCGTCCAGATGGAGAGGCCCCATGAAGAGGGACAGGTCCTGAGATCACCTGGAGGAGAAGCGAGGCCTGACCATCGCAGCATCAGAGCCAAGCCTCCAATGGCTCCATCCCCAGGACCATCTGCTCGAGAGACCCCAAGCAAGAGCAGCAGAAGATACACCCAGCTGAGCCCCGCCACCCCACAGAGCCATGCAAGGCCACATGATGGTCATTTTTAGGGCACTGAGTTTGAATGACCAGAACAGAGACTCGCTGCTCTTGAGGACATGAAGAAGGTGCCCCAGCTTCTCATTCCTCTCTGCCCAGGCCAACGATCCGAGGCTTTCTGTGGAAAATGAAACATAGCTCTTGCCTGGCCCCTAGGATACACATGTGATTCAAAATGCCTAGCCTAAGAAAATCAATGCAAATTAGAACTAAGAAAAATATCACTTTCTACCTGTCACGCCAGGAGTGGGAGCACAGGCACCTTGCATATTGGTGGTGGGGTGGACTCGCAAGGGCCATTTGGAACCACCCCCCACCATTTACAACATGCCTCCCTGGCTCCCCTTGCTGCATCAGCTTCACTTCTAGGGCTGCATCTCCCCCAGCACACAAATCGTATTCCTCCAACATTGTTCAGGTTGCAAAAGACTGGATCCAGCCTAGCCTTCCATCTACAGGGGATGAAGGGTTAAATGCAGCATGGCACGCTCCCGAGAGGGAATACCACACAGTCACTCCAGCCAATGAGGCAGGGCCATGTGTCCTAAGAGGGAACATCCCCAAGAAATGTGGGGTGAGAATAGCCAGGCAGGCACTCTGATGCCACCCCAGTGGAAGGCAGACAAGGAGCTGTAAATAAGCCTTGCTTGAGATTATGTGAGAAAGGACAGGCGGGAATCCACAGCATGGAGAGGCCCTGCCCTGCGGCTCACTGTCTACTGTTCCCCAGGACCAAAGGGGCCTAGTCGCAAGCTTTTGCCAAAAAATGCAAATTAAAAAAAATTGCTCATTCTCTAGACTTCTCTGAAAATCAAGTCCAGGGGGAAGCGTCCCAGAGGCGCAGCTTGCAGGTCTTACCACCAGGAGGCAGCACCCACAGTTTCCGCGGCCTTGGGACCAGGCGGGCTGGCACAAAGTTTATTTCTACGCTTTTTCTTTTGTTTTTCAAACTGTTTTCAAAGCCATTTCTCACCCAAAAATACTTTCCCCAGCCTGCTGCGGCTCCCAGCGCAGGCTCGGTTCAGCCCGCTAGGCAGCACTGGGACTTGTCATTTAGGGGTGGGCCTGGCGGGGGACAGGGAGGGGGCAGGAGGGCAGGGGGCTATGGTTCTGGATGTTTGATTCAGCCGCCTTCGCCTTCAGTGTCTGCATCTGCAGAGTGGGGCCCGATACCCCTCTCTCTCCACAGACGGGCTTGGCTTTAGCAAAGGTCCCTGCAAACATGCAGGAGGCAGGGGACCTGGGTAGAAAGTTCCAGCCCGTGGCCATGCACTCACACCTTGGGGGCCCAGCCAGCAAGGGGAGCCTGGTGGCAAGGTGGGCAGGGGTGGGCAGGGGCTGCTGGACCTCTTGCCCGGCCAAGGTTTCTGCCACCCTCCTGGGGGGTCCTGGGCTGCAGTTCCCCGTGATAGTCCCCATTTCCTGATCCCTCTGCTCTGCAAGCATCTCTCCTTCCCTCCCTGTGCTCTTGGCGCCCTGAACATTCCAGGTGTGTCCCTGACACATAGTGGGCTGCCAGTGCTTAAGAGGGGCTTTTCTACGTGAGGTACAGCCTCCCTGTGAGGTCATCACAACCTCCAAATGTGCACACCTTCAGGCCTTCCCTGCAGAGGACTCTACATCCTCCGGGTGTCTGTGTATGTGCATGCACGCGCGTGTGTGTGTACACGTGCGTGTGCGTGCATATCCGCATGTGCGTGCATGCATGCGCAGGTGTATAAGTTCAGGAAAAGGCAGGAGGGCAGGCTGGGTGTAAGTCTCCCGTCTGGTGTGTGGCCTTGGACTGAAGTGGTTTCCAGAGTGTCACCTCCTTCTCTCCTTTGGGCCTGGGGTCCCTGGGTCTTTCTGGGGCCACCTCTCTTTAAGGTGAACCTCCATCTTGCTGGGGGTAGGGACACATAGACTTCAGCCCCTGTTCCCAGCACCCAGATCACGCCCATCGAAACAAAGCCTCCCTGGTCCCCACATCTGACTCCAGCTTCTTGTGCAGCATCTCCTTAGGGGCGTTCCTTCGCCCCTGCGACACTGGCCCACCCTGTCCCCTGTGGTTCTGTCCCCGCCTTTGCAGGTCCCTGGACCTTGGCTTCAACCCCGGGAAGCAAAACCGGAGCATCCTGCTGCCCCCTTGTGAGGGCACATGGTACAGTCAGGACAAAAGCAAAAGCACCCTTCCAACCCAAGATACACAAATGCAATGCAAACCAGGAGGCCTGCAGCCAGGGCCACCCCATCTAGTTCTAGCACCTAAAATAAATGACATCTTGAGCAGTTCCTGGGGCAAAAGCAATGTGACTCCAACCCCCGACTTCCACCCCGGCAGAGCTGAGCTAAGGTCTCAGTGGAGCATTGACTTGAAGCTGCCATCCAGGCAGACTCCTGGGGCCCCTGCTCCTACCGGCCACGGCGCTGCCTCTGCTCTCAAGGCTACCATGATTCCATGTCACGTTGGGGCTCCCTGGCACGTCCTTCCTCCCCATGATCGTGGGGCTCTCACTCACCCCATGTCTGGCCTGACCATAGTGTGCACTGGCTTCCAACCCCCTGGCATCAATTCAACCACTTCTGATTTCTTCCAGATGGGGCCGGGCCCCCCAGACACCAAGGAGGTCCTCAAGGGTGGTTCTGTGCTGCTCTCGTCCACCCACACCCCACCCCTGCCACATTTGTATCTGATTAGGTTCTCATGAGCCAGAGTGAAGGGACGGACAAATGATGCATCTAAGCAGGAAAAAAACAGGGCAGAGGAAGGGTCCAGTTTGCCAACCTTTGTCAGCCTCCCAGGCAGTGAAACAGGGCTCCTAGCCCACAGCCCCATCATGCCCCTGGCTGGAGCCACCAAGGGCAACCTCAACTTGGGGGCACCTGAAAATGACCCTTTATAGCATCCCCTGACCTCCTTGTGGCAGAGCTGGGGACACATGTAGGCGTCTTATGATGTCCCTTCTATGTGCGGTTAAGTACGACCTTCTAGAACTTTCTTTGTGGACACAGCCCTGCTGGAGCTGCTCTGACCTCCCCACCTGCTCTTTCTCCATGTCTCTGTGGGACCCTCTTCCTCTTCTGACCCCTCAAATGCAGATTACCCCACCTAGGACCTTCTTTTCTGTCCCTTTCTCTCCTTATACCTCCCAGTCCCTACACAACCTTTTCCATTTTTGTGACTTCAACTGCCACCTTCTAGGCCAACACAATCTAAGCTCTCCAGGTAAAAGGCTCCCCAGAACTCTGAACCCACATGACTGACCCCAAGGTTGGCATCACCCTCACATGGAGGGGGGTGGTTCCTAGCTCAGAGCTCCTGGTCTGTATGGAGTCCCTGGCAGGCGACCCTGTCCCTCACCCTATGTAGTGAGCTGAACGGTGCCCCCCGGCCCAAGGATATGCCCCCTGCAAATGTGACTTTATTTGGATAAAAGATTCTTTGCAGACATATAAATACAAGGATCTGGAAATGAGAACATCCTGGATTAGGGTGGGCCCCAGATCCAGTGACAAGTGTCCTATACGAGAAGAGAAGGCAGAAGACATAGGCACGGGAGAGAAGCCATGTGAAGACAGAGGCAGAGATGGGCGTGAAGGGGCCACCAGCTCAGGAGGCCTGGGGAAGCCACCAGAAGCTGGAGGAGGCAGGGAAGGATCTGCCCCTGGGCTTTCAGTGGGGCGCTGCTGACGTGGAATCTGACTGGAGTGGGGTCCTGCTGACGTGGAATCTGACTGGAGTGGGGTCCTGCTGACGTGGAATCTGACTGGAGTGGGGTCCTGCTGACGTGGAATCTGACTGGAGTGGGGTCCTGCTGACGTGGAATCTGCCTGGAGTGGGGTCCTGCTGACGTGGAATCTGCCTGGAGTGGGGTCCTGCTGACGTGGAATCTGCCTGGAGTGGGGTCCTGCTGACGTGGAATCTGACTGGAGTGGGGTCCTGCTGACGTGGAATCTGACTGGAGTGGGGTCCTGCTGACGTAGGATCTGACTGGAGTGGGGTCCTGCTGACGTGGAATCTGCCTGGAGTGGGGTCCTGCTGACGTGGGATCTGCTGGAGTGGGGTCCTGCTGACGTGGATCTGACTGGAGTGGGGTCCTGCTGACGTGGAATCTGCCTGGAGTGGGGTCCTGCTGACGTGGAATCTGCCTGGAGTGGGGTCCTGCTGACGTGGAATCTGACTGGAGTGGGGTCCTGCTGACGTAGGATCTGACTGGAGTGGGGTCCTGCTGACGTGGAATCTGCCTGGAGTGGGGTCCTGCTGACGTGGAATCTGCCTGGAGTGGGGTCCTGCTGACGTGGAATCTGACTGGAGTGGGGTCCTGCTGACGTGGATCTGCCTGGAGTGGGGTCCTGCTGACGTGGAATCTGCCTGGAGTGGGGTCCTGCTGACGTGGAATCTGCCTGGAGTGGGGTCCTGCTGACGTGGAATCTGCCTGGAGTGGGGTCCTGCTGACGTGGAATCTGCTGGGAGTGGGGTCCTGCTGACATAGGATCTGACTGGAGTGGGGTCCTGCTGACGTGGAATCTGCCTGGAGTGGGGTCCTGCTGACGTGGAATCTGCCTGGAGTGGGGTCCTGCTGACGTGGAATCTGCCTGGAGTGGGGTCCTGCTGACGTGGAATCTGCCTGGAGTGGGGTCCTGCTGACATAGGATCTGACTGGAGTGGGGTCCTGCTGACATGGAATCTGACGTCTGGCCTTCAGTCTGGAGAGAATCGGTCAGTGTTATTTTAAGCACCCAGCACGTGAACACTATCATAGCCCCAGGAAGCGAATTCAGCCTGTCCCAGGGGGGCATCCATCCAACCAGGGGAGTGGACCCTTGAGTCCCGGGCGTGGTTCTGTACTTCACAAACCCCAAGTCACTGAGGCTCCACAAGGGCCCTGCGAGATGAGAGCCATTATGATCACTACAGGGCCTCTCCCTCCAGTTCTAATCTCATGCCAGTGCACTGTTCCTCCATCCCCCTTCCAGGTCCTTGTCATCTCTGGTTCCCATTATTGCCAGAAACAGCCTTTCACAGGGCCCCTGCTGCCATCACCACCACACAGGAGCAACAGCGTGCTCTCCCAACAGCTCTGCTCTGACCTCTCTTCCAGTGGCCGCCCCTGCCCCCAGCAGGATATCGTCCTCCCAGCCTGGCACGTGGAGCTGTCACCCGGTCCATCCTGGTGCCATCTCCAGCTGCCCCTGAATGCTTACTCTTCCCAACTCAGTCCTCTGCAGCCCCCACATGGAGGAACAAGGTTGTGCCCTTGGTGCTCCTCCTCCCCCTCTACCGGGCAAATGAGTAGCCCTACTCTCTGGGGCAGGCTCCGTCCCCTCAGGGAGACGCAGATGCTCCCTGCACCTGCCCGTAAGCCTGGACAGGGAACTCCTCGTGTCAGCCTGGAGTCGTCGCAACAGAACCCCAGGTCAGTCAACTCTCCTAATCAACATCTCAAGCGGGGGCTGGGTGCGGTGGCTCAAGCCTGTAATCCCAGCACTATGGGAGGCCGAGACGGGCGAATCACGAGGTCAGGAGATCGAGACCATCCTGGCTAACCCGGTGAAACCCCGTCTCTACTAAAAAACATAAAAAACTAGCCGGGCGCGGTGGTGGGCGCCTGTAGTCCCAGCTACTCGGGAGGCTGAGGCAGGAGAATGGCGTAAACCCGGGAGGCGGAGCTTGCAGTGAGCTGAGATCCGGACACTGCACTCCAGCTTGGGCAACAGAGCGAGACTCCGTCCCAAAAAAAAAAAAAAAAAAAAATCTCAAGCCATTTTCAGTCCAGCTTGGGAGCCTGCCCTGCTCTCCCCACGAAGCCCCATGTGTGAGCAGCAGGTGGATTTTGTTAAATGTTCATAATACTTGTGAATCCCTCGTAAATATTTGGAAATAACTGAAAAAACATATTGATTCTACCCATCCATGAACATGGGATGTGTCTCCCTTTGTTGGTGTCATCTGTGATTTCTTTCGGCGGTGTTTGTAGTTTTCCTCGTAGAGGTCTTTCACAGCCCTCTTGCTGTGTGTGTGGAAGGTCTTTCTGTGCCCTCTTGGTGAGCGTGTGGAAGTGTCTCCACCTTCAAAGCAGATCTGGGGTGGGGTACCCCCCGCTTCTGGATGTAGAGTGACCCCCACACTCCCGCAGGCTGGGAGTCCCAGAGGAAGGGATTTAGCTCATCCTCCAGCACAGAGCCACTCACAGCCTTCCCCGCCCCTAGCAGCACCTGTGAATGCTGTTGCCTCTGCCTGGAACCCCCTGCCCCCACCATGTAGTTTCAACATGGTTGCTTTTATTTATTTATTTATTTATTTGAGACAGAGTTTCGTTCGTTAGCCAGGCTGGAATACAATGGCCGGATCTCGGCTCACTGCAACCTCCGCCTCCTCCTGGGTTCAAATGATTCTCTTGCCTCAGCCTCCTGAGTAGCTGGGATTACAAGTACCTACCACCACGCCTGGCTAATTTTGGTATTTTTAGTAGAGATGGGGTTTCGCCATGTTGGCTAGGCTGGTCTCGAACTCCTGACCTCAGGTGATCCACCTGGCTCGACCTCCCAAAGTGCTGGGATTACAGGTGTGAGCCACCACGCCCGGCCCATGGTTGCTTTTTGAATGAGCAGTTCCAGCGCACAGAGCTCATGATCCCCTCAAAATGTATCCTCCCAAATCATCCTCACAGCAGCTCCATGAGGTGAACAACCTCAGGCTCACAGAACCGACAGGCAGTAGCTTGCTCCAGGCCACACATCTAGTAAGGGACATAACTCAGGGTCTGGCTCCACACTCCACACCCCTGCCACAGCCTTCCCTGTCCTCCTTGGTGAAGCCTTCCCCTTCCCATCTCACCTGAAGCTGGGTTACATGGCCTCCGTGCACTGAGAGGAATGTGTCACCTGCATGGCTTGTCCACGGCCTGGCCTTCCACAAGATGGTGAACTCCACCGGTCTGGGACAGGACCTGCCTTGCTCTTCCCTCCTCACACACAACTAGCCCACCACAGTTCCAGGTCTCACTAAGGAGTGGCAGCTCTCAGTGGGATGTGAGAGAAACCTGGAGTCGGGGTGAGGTGGGGCCTGGCAGGGCTGGAGAGAAAGGACAGCAGAATTCAGGGAGCCCATGAAGCGGGCAGAGGAGAGGGTCAGCCCTTCCACCGTGCGCAGCTACACAACTTGGTTACATGGTGTTCTCTGCTCCCTCTCCTCAAATAGGTCTACCTCTGGATCCCTCCCCTGGCCATGTGGCTCTGTACTTCCTGTTTGCAATCCACAGCAAGCTCCCCTCCTGCCCCACCAGCCCATGCAGGCATCAGAGATCAGAACAGAACCGACCTTAGCCCTGGGCTCCTGGAGAAACACGGGGCAGGGCAGTGCACAGCGGCAGTCACACAGCCACCAAAAGCCGCGCCATGGCACCAGTGTGGCAGCTGATGCGGGGTGAGGCGTGGTAATGCCGACCCCACTGGCACCAACACGTCCTCACAGCCCCCTCGTTCACAGCCTGGGGCTCTGTTACCTGGAGCCAAGATGAAGATCTGAGGTTCTGCCCAGTGCCCTCGGGGAACGGGGCGTAGCTGATGGTCACGCACAGGAAGTGGCTAACCTTGTCCCAGGGGCGATAGCTCACACCCAAGGAACAACAGCTCTGTGGACGCCACTGGGTCATTCTGCGGTTGCAGAGGGGACAGACTCTGGAATCCATAGACTGTGCGCAAATCTCAACTCAGCTGTGCATTCTCTGCGTGACTGTCAGCGAGTCACTCCAAATTTGAGACTCAAGTCTCTCGATCTGTGAGGTGGGTAGGGATGACCCAAAGTGGAATCCATTGCACTGGAGGTGGGCAGGTGGCCAGACACCAGGGCAGCAGCCATGGCCACTTGCATCTGTGGCTGGGCTCTTCAGACCCTCTGTATCCACACTCCCTCCAGGTGAATCTGCGCTTCCCCTCAGGAGAGGCTGTGCTAGAGTAAAATCCAGGTAGTGAGCATAATACCTGATTGGTAGTTTTTCAGCCCTTGGTCCCTCCCTGCCTCCACCCCAGTAGGCCCCAGTGTCTGTTGTTCCTGTCTTTTTTTTTTTTTTTTGACCGAGTCTCGCTCTGTCCCCCAAGCTGGAGTGCAGTGGCGCGACCTCAGCTCACTGCAAGCTCCGCCTCCCAGGTTCACGCCATTCTCCTGCCTCAGCCTCCCGGGCAGCTGGGACTACAGGCGCCCACCACCGCGCCCGGCTAGTTTTTTTGTATTTTTTTAGTAGAGACGGGGTTTCACCGGGTTAGCCAGGATGGTCTCGATCTCCTGACCTCATGATCCACCCGTCTCGGCCTCCCAAAGTGCTGGGATTACAGGCTTGAGCCACCGCGCCCGGCCTGTTGTTCCTGTCTTTATGTCCATCTGTACACAAGGCTTACGGTTCCGTTTGTAAGTGAGAACATGTGGTATTTGGTTTTCTGTTCCTGCATTAATTCACTTGGGATAATGGCCTCCAGCTGCATCCATGTTGCTGCAAGGAACATGATTTTTTTTCTTTTCATGGCTATGTAGTATTCCATGGTGTATATGTACCACATTTTCTTTATCCAATCCACTATTGATGGGCCCCTCGGTTGATTCCATGTCTTTGCTATTGTGAATAGTGCTGTGACAAACACACGTGTTATGTGTCCTTTTGGTAGAAGGTTTTATTTTCCTTTGGGTCATACCCAGTAATGGGATTGCTGTGCTAAACGGTAACTGTTTTAAGTTCTTTGAGGAATCTCCAAACTGCTTGCTACAGTGGTTAAACTAATTTACATTCCACCAACAGTGTATAAAGCGTTCCCTTTTCTCTGTAGCCTCACCAGCATCTCTTGTTTTTTGACTAACAATAGCCATTCTTAACGGTGTGAGATGGTCCCTCATTGTGCTTTTGATTTGCATTTCTCTGATGATAAGTGATGCTGAGATTTTTTCATGTTTGTTGGCTGCTTCTGTGTCTTTTGACAAGTTGTCTGTTCATGTCTTTTGCCCACTTTTAATGGGGTTGTTGCTTTTTGAATTGTTTGACTTCCTTATAGATCACGGATATTAGACCTTTGTTAGATGCAGTTTGCAAACATTTTCTTCCATCCTGTAGGTTGTCTGTTTACACTGTTGATTGTGTGTGTGTGTGGGGGGGGGGGAGGGGGCGCAGGGTGGGTACAGAAGCTCTTTAGTTTAATTAGGTCTCATCTGGCAATTTTTGTTTTTGTTGCAGTTGCTTTCATAAATTCTTTCCCAGGGCAGATGTCCAGAACAGCATTTTCCAGGATTTCTCGAGGATTTTTATAGTTTAGGGTCTTACACTTAAACCTTTCATCCATCTTGCATCTATGTTCCTCAGGGATATTGGCCTGTAGTTTTCTTTTCCTGTTGTGTCTTTGCCAGGTTTTCGTATCAGGGTGAAGCTGGCCTTGCAGAATGAGTTAAGCAGGAGTCCCTCCTTGCTATTTTAGAATTAGTTTCAGTAGAACTGGTACCAGCTCTTCTCTGTGCATCTGGTAGAATCTGGTTGTGAATCCATCAGATTCCATTTAGGAATTCCTAAGAACGAGGCTTCCTAAGAAAGAGAAGGGAAAAGTTTTACTAAAAAAGTTTATGTGGGCCGGGCGCAGTGGCTCAAGCCTGTAATCCCAGCACTTTGGGAGGCCAAGACGGGCGGATCACGAGGTCAGGAGATCGAGACCATCCTGGCTAACACGGTGAAACCCTGTCTCAATACAAAAAACTAGCCGGGCGAGGTGGCGGGCGCCTGTAGTCCCAGCTACTCGGGAGGCTGAGGCAGGAGAATGGCGTAAACCCGGGAGGCGGAGCTTGCAGTGAGCTGAGATCCGGCCACTGCACTCCAGCCTGGGCAACAGAGCCAGACTCTGACTCAAAAAAAAAAAAAAAAAAAAAAAATGTTTATGTGGTTCATTAGGCATTGCCAGAGGGGAAAAAAATTGTAAAAAGAAAAGGCCAGGCGCGGTGACTCACATTTGTAATCCTAGCACTTTGGGAGGCAGAGGCAGGCGGATCACTCGAGGTCAGGAGTTCCAAACCAGCCTGGACAACAAGCCGAAACCCCGTCTCTACCAAAAATACAAAAATTAGCCAGATGTGGTGGTGCATGCCTGTAATCCCAGCTACTCAGAAGGCTGAGGCAGAATAATTACTTGAGCCCGGGAGGCAGAGGTTGCAGTGAGCTGAGATCACACCACTGCACTCCAGCCTGGTTGACAGAGTGAGACTCTGTCTTGAAAAAAAATAAAATAAATAAATAAATAATGTCCAGGCACGGTGGCTCACGCCTGTAATCCAGCACTTTGGGAGGCTGAGATGGGCGGATCACAAGGTCAGAAGATCAAGACCATCATGGCTAACATGGTGAAACTCTGTCTCTAATAAAAATACAAAAAATTAGCCAGGCGTGGTGGCGGGCGCCTGTAGTCCCAGCTACTCAGGAGGCTGAGGCAGGAGAATGGCACGAACTTGGGAGGCAGAGGTTGCAGTGAGCTGAGACTGCGCCACTGCACTCCAGCCTGGGTGACAGAGCAAGACTCCATCTCAAAATAAATAAATAAATAAGAATTAAAAAGAATAAAAACAAAGGCCTTATGGCTGGAGATGGCCACTTTGAACATAGTAAGAAAGTTCCTGTTGAGTTGGGCATCTGCTAAATGCCAGGCCTCAGAAATGATCTAATTAATCCTCCTAGCAAACACCTCTTGGTGCACCTGCCCTGCTCTGTGGCATTAGAAAGGATGGGAGGGGGATGCCGTGTGGATCCATAAACACGAGAGATGGCATTTGCCCTGCTCTCGGCCTGTCCTGGAGACACAGCAGGCCTGCCCTTCTCCGGGGGCTGACTACTTCCTTTCCTTTGCAGTGACTTTCCTGTGATAACATCATTTCCCTGAGGCCAGGCCCCAGGGCCAAGGTCCCAAGGGCGGGGCCTGTGTGCCTGATGACGCGGGTTGCCCAGCACCCTGCTGTCCCTGCTTAGCCTGGCATCTCCTGCTCTCGTCTGCTGTCCTGCCAGTTAGCTGCTGCTATGTAACAAGCCATCCCCAAATGCAGGGACGTGTGCTTCCTCCCGAGTCAAGGGTTTGGCTGGGCTCAGCTGTGCCGGACTGGCTTTGCTCCACGTGCCTCTCATCCTCCTCCTGGGACCCAGGGACTGGCCACGAGTGTCCATCTCATGATGCTGCTGGAGTGCAGCAGACTGGAGCACGCAGGCCTCTGGCCACCTAGGCTGGGAACTTGCTTTTCATTAGTGCCGCTGCATTTCATTCAAGTCACAGTGCCAGTGGATTCCAGGGAGGGGAACCAGACGCCACCTCTTGGTGAAAGGAGCACGCGGGTAGGTTTGTTACACGGGTATATTGCTTAAGCTATCTCCGTTTAACAAACCTACACGTGTACCTCCAGATCTAAAATAACAGTTGAAATTATCAATAAAATAATAATAGAAATAAATGGAGCCTGCGGCACTGGTGGAGGGCAGGTGGTGGCTCTGCTCAGGTGCTCACACGGGTGGGTCTGCTGCTTACTTGTGCCTGTGCTTTGAGAACTGGCGCAGCCTCGGCAGCCTCCAGTACAAGTCTCTTCCTCACAGGGCAGGTCCTTTCTCCTGCTTTCTTCTTGTCCACAGACTTCTGGCAATGTTGCCTACATTTTTATTTTTTTATAATCCTAGGATGATCTCCCTGGCTTCTGGCCATTTGCCTGGACTCTGGGCTTCGGGCATTGTGGGCTCTCCTGTTCTAGGCCTGGCATCAGGCCTCCCACCCTTTCTGAACCTGTGTGAAACCATGCAGGTTCGCCTCACGTGGCTTACCAGGACTTGCTTCTGAGCCTCTGTGCTCCGATCCTTGGTACCTTCCCGAGTCGTCTGAATTGTTTTCAACTTCCCCACTCCGCTGTCTCCTGAGCTCTGGTGGGAGGTTCACTGGGCTCCTGAGCTTGTTCTCACAGAAGTATGCACATTGCTTAGGGTGCTGTCCACAGATGGAGGCACAGCTGATGCAGTCCCTCAGGAGATGGTCATAGAACCTGCCTTGCTCCTTGCGGCAGTTGAGTGACCCTGGGAGACAGAAGTGCGTAATACTGCTGGGTAACAGACTAGCAGGAGTTGCAGGTTTGACCACAAAGGACATCAAAGTTAAAAAAAAAATGACGGTAAAATTCCAGCAAGCAATTCCAGAGTAAGCCAAGTACTTTTACAATATACACATTGAAGACTGTGCATTGTCCTCTAAGTGACCCCGGGAGACAGAAGTGCATGATACTACCAGGTAACACAGACTGACGGGAGCTCTGGGTTTGGCCATATCAAAGTAAAAAAGAAATTATGGTTAAATTCCCAAAAAGCAATCCCTTAAGCCAAGTACTTTTACAATATACACATTGAAGACTATGCATTGTCCTCTAAGTACTATTTTAGCTGCATTGCATTTTGATGTATTTTTCCTATGTCTAGTTCAAAATGTACTTATTTTTCATTATTATTTCTTCTTTGACCTATGGGTTATTTACAAGTGCATTTCTTAGTTTCCAAACATATGAAGATTTTTCAGCTATCATTTAAAATTGAGATCTAGATTACATTGTTACATAAGACCTTTACTTGCATTTTTCAAGCCTCATCAAGGAGAAATATATTTCAAATCAGCATAAGGAATGAAGGGGAAAAGCCAGAATTCTCTTTGGCAAGTTGGGGCAAGGGGCTGGAAGGAAGGTGGAAAGGTCCACATGAATAGTGTTTCTTCTCTCTTAATGCTAAATGAGAACTACAGCAGCTTACACAAGTATCAGCGCCAAGGCACAGAAGCCAAGGAAGCTAAAGCCCAATCACACTTGCCTTAAGAGAGCACAGCGGACCCAACTTTGAACAGAAATCTATTTAGGACAATCAATTACCTTATCCAATGCCTCAGAATATTTCTACATGAAAGTTTTTACGTAAAACAGGCAAGTTTCCTTTGTCTTTAGAATAAGGTATTTATGTGAAAATATGGCTCACAGAGATATTTTAAGGACATATTTCAGAGGCAGTGCAGGAGAGTGGATAAGAACCCAAATTTCAGAGCCTTCCTCGGCTGTACCATTTGTAGCCAGTGTGGTCACAGCCTCTCCGTGCCTCCGTTTCCTCATTTCCAATATAGGGAAAATAACAGTACTGACTTCTTAGGGTTGTTGGCAGAGCTGAAGTGCCCAGCACAATGCCTGACACATACTAAATAAATGCTCACTTAATGGAAGGCTTGAGTAGAATATTCATTTGAGCCTCTTCAAAAAGTAAATACAAAGGAAGGACCTAAAAGATGATGGAGTTGGAATCTGGAGGAAAACTCAGATGGCCCACATGGGGCCGTCCCCTGCTCTGGCCCTGCCATATCCCCAGAGCTCCAGTGAACTGCACAGGAACTGATACCTCCACTCCTGGCACAGAGTCAGCCCAGCAGTGCTGTCCTTGGGGCTTTCTGTGACCTCCTCCCCTCCTCAGTGGTCCCAGCATGGCTGTTGCAGGTGGTGCCTGAGCGCCCCAGACCACTGACCCTCCCTGCCTGACCTCACACCCCACCCCGCCCCCACCCAGGACTCAGTCTTCCCCGCTGCATTTCCCACCTCTGCTCATGCTGCCCTCTCTTCCAGGCAGTCTTCCCCCTCATCTGATTTCTGCATTCTGTGGCCTCTTAACAATCTGCCTCTGATGGTGCGTCCTTCAGGGACACCTCCCTACCCCCCTACCCCCAGCTGAAGGTGGTCTCTCCTGACTGTGGCCTTTTTTTTTTTTTGTTTTTGAGATGGAGTTTCACTCTTGTTGCCCAGGCTGGAGTGCAATGGCATGATTTCAGCTCACCGCAACCTCCGTCTCCTGGGTTCAAGAGATTCTCCTGCCTCAGCCTCCCCAGTAGCTGGGATTATAGGCACCCGCCACCACGCCCGGCTAATTTTGTATTCTTTTTTTTTTTAGTAGAGACAGTTTCTCCTTGTTGGTCAGGATGGTCTCGAACTTCCGACCTCAGGTGATCTGCCCGCTTTGGCCTCCTGAAGTGCTGGGATTACAGGCATGAGCCACCGCACCCAGCCCCGACTGTGGCTTTCTACCTTGACACATAGTCATTTCTCCCATAAGAAGACACTGTCCTTGAAGGGCCAAGCCAGATTCCTATTTCCTTGGGGCTGGAGCACTCCATCTATGTTTATAGGATGAACCAAAACGAACGTTCTAATTTATTAATGGGTAATGGTTCAGGGCATTATTTAGGAGTCAGAGTCCTGGGTTCAAACCCTGACATCTCTGCTTTTAAGCTGTGTGATCCTGGGTAAGTCACTCAGCCTCTCTGAGTTCCCCTCAACAAGTATTCATGAAGGACTGAACTATGTGTCAGGCACTGTGCTAGGCTCAAGTCAGACATGGTTCCTGCCCCCAGGGAGCTCCCAGTCTAGTGGTTGAGTCAGATGTGAAAGAACAAAACAGCAAACCGTGGCAAGTTCTACCAAGGAAAAGAACAGGTTATGAAAAAGAACAGCAAGCAATGGATAATTTTCAAGACAATCAGGGAAAATTGGATCTGGCCTGAATATTAGATGATGTTAATAAATGATTGCTGGCAGTAGCAGGATATTTGGGTTGTTTTTACAGATCTTTATGGTCCAGTATCTGCAGGTAAAATGATATGCGGTCTTGGGCTTTGCTTTAAAATACACAAGCCAAAACAACTGGTTGGGAAAGTATGAGGCAAATTTAAATGATCTGTGAATCATTTAATGGGTGCCGAGGGCATCACTGTGCTGTCCTCTCTATGGATATGTGTGGTAAGTTCTGTAATTAAAAGTTTCAACAGAAAGTAACACTAGCAGTACAAAGGAGGGCCCAGTACTACTGTGTGGTCAGAGGAGACCCCGGATGTTTGGGCTGAGACCTGAAAGTTGGGTACGAGGGAGCCGAGGGAAGATGATAGAGGGAATGCATGCCAGGCAGCAGGAACAGCACATGCAAAGGACCGGAGGCAGGAAAGAACATGGCATGTTTGACACTGAAAGGAGGCAGTGTGGCCAGAGTGGGAAGGTGGAGGGGTAAGAGGTGCCACACTGTACATCTCCTGCCACCCTCTCCTCAGCCACCTGTGGGGCGAGAGGGTGCTCTCGCAGGCGTCTGGGGGGGTGATCACACTGTCCCCTGGGCTCAGGTCCCAGAACTCACTCCAGGAGGCTGCACAGGTGCGCTGGCTCTGATGGTTGCAGATGGCTTTGCAGGACATGCAGTTGCCCAGTAAGGGGATCCCAGTACTGCTCTTCAGGGCAGGATCCCATAGCCAGCCCTGTTCACAGGCCCTGTGGAGCTGAGAGACCAGGAGCGTGAGGGCAGCTGGCAGGTGGTTGCAGCCCAGCCTCTTGCTGTCCACATTCCCGTAGACATAAGCGCTGTCTCAGGAGCAGAGAGGGCAGACAAAGCTGGCTTCCAACTCCCACTGTGCTAGCTGGAGGCCTAGGGCAGCCACGTCCCATCTCCAGCCTCAGTTTCCCCATCTGCACATGGTTGTTTTCAGGCCCCCTGCTCTCTCACATCAGCAGGGCCCTGCTCCTTGCCCTCCTTAACGTGCCATGCCTCTCCCTGCCACAGGATCTTTGCACATGCTGTTCCCTTGCATGACGTGCCCTTCTCCCCAGCCCCTGCCCCTTAGCTGCTTATTCCTCCTCAGCCTGAGACCTCTGTCTAAACCCGATCTCCCAGGGAAGCCTTTCTGACTCCCCCTAGAGTAGGACGCGGTCCTTCTTCCGCACACTCACACTGCCCTTTACTTGCTGCTGTGGTCACTTTCCTTTTCTATGCATGTGGTTATTTGATGCTGGCTCCTGTACTAACTGTGAGCACCATCTGGCAAGGACTGTGCCTAATTTTTTTTGTTCATTGCTGAGTCCTCAGAACCTACATAGTGCTTAGGATATAGTAGGCGCTCATAACATGAATGGTTTTTTAAAAGCAGACCAAGTCAGTGCCTAGCACACAGCAAGAACCAAGAAATGTCAATTTCCTTCTTTACTGAAGTATGAAACCACCACAATGATGTGTGTAAAGTGCACAAAAAGCAGAAGAATACAGCTTGGTGACATGTGATGTATGTATGCACCTGTGTCATTACAGCCCACATTGAGATGAAGAACATTTCCTGCACCCCTGAAGACTCCCTGGGGTCCCCTCCCACCCAATGCCCACTCCTAGAGGTGGCTCCTGTTCTGTTGTTACCCCCATAGGTTAATATTGCCCCTTTTGGAACTTCCACGTCTGGTTTTGTCCCTCCACGTGGTGCCTGAGACTCATCCATGTGGGCGCTCTCCACCTGTCTGGTTTTGTGTTACTGTGAGTCTTCCACTGTGTGCAAGCATCACCTTCTCTATCCTTTTCTCATTTCATGACATTTGCTTCCCCCAACAACTTTGTAAACATGTTTAAAAGCATTTTGCAAGACATGTGTTTGTCCTTTAATGAAAGCAAGCCGAGGGAAGACCAGAGGTGGCTGGGCACCATGGCTCATGCCTGTAATCTTAGCACTTTGGGAGGTTGAGGTGGGAGAATTCCTTGAGGCCAGGAGTTCAAGACCAGCCTGGGCAACATAGTGAGATCCTGCCTCTACAGAAAGATTTTAGAAATTGGCCAGGTGCTATAGTCCCAGCTATTCAGGAGACTGAGGTAGGAGGATCGCTTGAGCCTGAGTGCTCAAGGCTGAGGTGGACTACGACCACATCACTGCACTCCAGCCTGGATAACAGAGCGACACCCAGTCTTTAAAAAAGAAAAAGAAAAAAGACCAGGTGCCTCTCATTTAACACAGCCGCGTAAACACAGGGGTTTATCTTCCTTCCCTCCTGAAACCATCCTAAATGACAGTCAAGTGCATTTGCTTCAGAGATAAAGGGGATGGCAGAGGTTTCTACAGCAGGGAGATGGAAGGACTGGAGTGCCTCATTGCTCTGAAGATCTCTCATTGTTGATGCCCACAGGGGAAGGAAATTGTTTTGAGTCACAAAACTCAAGGAAGTCTTCAGAATTGGAGGCACCAAGTATCTCTGACAGCAGGGCCTGGGCAGAAGGCGTGAAGCTCTGAAAGAGCATTGGTTGGAAACTTAAAAAAAAGAGGGCGTGACCCCAGCACATCCCCATTCCAAGGCAGGAGCCAGTCCGTCACCCACCCGGGCCTAAGAGTGGGGTCTCCTTGGACACAGCTGAGGGTAGAAACGTGGTCCTTCCTGGCAACAGGGGGACTGTGAGAATCTTCCTCTTGGATGGTCAGTCTCCCCTCTCCTCACTCACCCCAGCCCCTACCTCAGGAGTGCGGCAACCAGGTTTTTAAAGACACCTCCCTCCCTACCCTGTAACTGGCAGGACATCAGAAGTCTCTGGAAAACAGACCCAAAGGAAAAGACCCAGAGGCACTGACAGCTGGAGATTCCGGAAAATGTCCAAGTCCCTGCCTGATCCTGCTGGAGCAAAGCTTCTCCATCAATGAGCCCATCTGCTTACCCAGAACTTCCAGGCAGCTGTCGGTGCCTCAGTCTGACTTTTGAATCAATGGCCAAGGGTCCCCTGATATGGGAGCACTGCCTCTAGCAGGAAAGCAAACTCAGACCACACAGAAGACAAACACCCGGAACCAACGAAGACATGCAGGAAACAGAGGCGCATTTTAAAACAGCAGCAGCAACAGTTGAGATCCCCAGACATGTAAGAGAGGATTGTGTATCTGTGAAACAAAACAGTGAACGGTTTGTAAAGAACATTCGTAGAACAAATGAGAATTATTAGAAATTATTTTATAGTCAGAATAAAAACATCAGTAGAAAGGTTGAAAGACGTAATCGAATAAATTGTCCAGAAAATAGGAGACAAAAGATATAAAATTATGGAATCATTTCAGGAGCTCCAAAGGTTGGCTAATGATTTGAAGGACACTGGCTTCCAGATTGAAAGAGTCAATCAAGCATCAGTGCAATACGGTCTCACAAAGTAGGATACATCATCATGCAATTTAGAAGCACGTAACCCCAGCACTTTGGGAGGCTGAGGCGGGAGGCTCACAAAGTCATGAGATTGAGACCATCCTGGCCAACATGGTGAAACCCCGTCTCTACTAAAAATACAAAAAATCAGCTGGGCGTAGTGGCAGGTGCCTGTAATCCCAGCTACTCAGGAGGCTGAGGCAAGAGAATCGCTCGAACCCGGGAGGCAGAGGTTGCAGTGAGCTGAGATCGCACCTCTGCACTCCAGCCTGGGTGACAGAGTGAGACTCCGTCCCAAAAAAAGAAGAAAAAAAGAAAAAGTGTTCAGTCTCCCCAGCCAAAAGAAAAACGCAAATCAAACCACGGTGAGACACTACTACACATTACCCACATGACCTCCAGTAAAAAGACTAACACACTACCAGGTATTGATGAGAATGCAGAGAAATCGACCTCTCATAAATTGCTGAAAAGACACGAACTATACAGATACCTCAGTCATCTGTTTGGCACTATCCTGGAATGTATGCATACCCCATAGCCCAGGAATTCCATTCCTAAGTATGTAACCAACAGGAACGAGTACATACGTGTTTCAAGAGACAGCCACAAGAATATAACAGCGCTATTCACCTTAGCCCCAAACTGTACATGACTCAACTGTCCATTAATGACGGAATGGATAAATAAAGTTATAATCATACAATGGCTTACTAAACGGTGAAGAAAATGAACAGATTACAGTATATGCAACAACATGGATACATCTCACTAAATAATGTGTAAAAACAGCTAGATGTCAATATTACGTAGTTTTAAAATTCCATTTGTAATAAAACTCAGATGTAAGGACAAGTAACATAGTATTTAGGGCTGCATAGTTTTGTGAAGATCTGTTACGGAGAAGAATTGCGAGGACAATGGTTATCTTAGGGAGTAGTGAGGGTTGCGATGGGAACACCTGGGAGAGGTCTGGGGGAGCTGGCGCTGCTTCTTTTCTGGGTGGGAGTGGTGACTGCATGACTTTTCACGTTCTAATCATTCAAGAAACCACCATTTGGCCGGGCGCGGTGGCTCAAGCCTGTAATCCCAGCACTTTGGGAGGCCGAGACGGGCGGATCACGAGGTCAGGAGATCGAGACCATCCTGGCTAACACGGTGAAACCCCGTCTCTACTAAAAAAAAAAATACAAAAAACTAGCCGGGCGCGGTGGCGGGCGCCTGTAGTCCCAACTACTCGGGAGGCTGAGGCAGGAGAATGGCGGGAACCCGGGAGGCGGAGCTTGCAGTGAGCTGAGATCCGGCCACTGCACTCCAGCCTGGGCGACAGAGCGAGACTCCGTCTCAAAAAAAAAAAAAAAAAAAAAAAAAAAAAATTTACTATCGTGACTAACAAAACCAAAAAAAAATCAAAAAAAAAAAAAAAACTGCTCTTCGGGCTCCATAATGTTACCTGTCACTTAAAGACCTCCAGAACGGCCTAGGAGAGCCAAATCCACAGGCGGAGTCCCCCAGAAGGACGAAACGTCATACAGCTGCTGCACTGGTCGGAGCAAGGGCCATGACTCAAACAGCCAGCAGAATGGGACCGCAGCTCCCACCTCACGTGCTCTACACAGCCCAGCCCACATTGCCTACCTTGATATCAATTCCTGCATTTTGCCTAATAAAAAAATCCCTACGCATGTTCTCACTTATAGGTGGGAGCTAAATGATGAGAACACACCGACACGTAGAGGGGAATAACAGACACCAGGGCCTACCTGACGCTGGAGGGTGGGAGAAGGCAGAGAACCAAGAAAAATAATCAGTACTGGGCTTAATACCGGGGTGATGAAATAATCTGTACAACAAACCTCCGTGACACGAATGTACCTATATGACAAACCTGCACATGTACCCCTGAACTGAAATTTTTTTTTTTTTTTTTTTTTTTGAGATGGAGTCTAGCTCTGTCACCCAGGCTGGAGTACAGTGGCGCGATCTCGGCTCATTGCGAGCTCCACCTCCTGGATTCATGCCATTCTCCTGCCTCAGCCTCCCGAGCAGCTGGGATTACAGGCGTCCGCCACCAAGCCCGGCTAGTTTTTTGTATTTTTAGTAGAGACGGGGTTTCCCCATGTTGGCCAGGATGGTCTCGATATCCTGACCTCGTGATCCGCCCACCTCGGCCTCCCAAAGTGCTGAGATTACAGGCGTGAGCCACCGCGCCCAGCCCGAAAAGTTCTTAAAAAGGGAAGATGATAAATATAGAAACTCATTCTATTTTGTGTACAGTGATAAAACGTGGCTATAATTTGAGGTTCTAGATGATGTAATCTTCCACCAGAGTATTCATTTCTGATTCCAGAAGACAGTTAAGATAGGAGAAGATCATCAAATCCAAAGCCCAGGTTTCCATGGGTTTTAAGCCTGAACAAATAAAAGGCTTCTTAAAGATGCTAAGGAAGAATATTTTAATAAACTAATGGCTAGAAAGACATTTTAAAGAAGGAAACAAAACACTTAAAATCATAAAGAAAAACACACACAGAAAGGCAACATTTCTCTTCAGTAAAATATAACCATAAACAAAGTTAAAAGATGACTAAGAAATAATAGCACTACATATGAAAAAACGTTAAAAAGCACAATATATCAAGATTTCTTATAAACAGGAAAAAGACTAACACCTCAAAAGAAATACAAGCCAAGTATATGAGTCTCCATAGACACATACAAAAGATAAATTGCCTCTAAACATATGAAGAAGTGCTCGTATGATGAACATTTACTGATGAACAAAGCAAAACAAGTTACATTGTTCATTTACTTAATCTTTAAGATTATTTATAGAGTGTGAAAGTTCTGGGAAAATAGTACCTTGCATGCTGTGAGTGGGAGGGCAAACTGAAGGGCAATGTGTCTACCAAGTTTTTCAATGCGCTGGGACAGGTCACATCCACTTCCTTTTCTAGGACTCCATTTTCCTTTTCTAGAACTCAATGTGTGGAAGATCTCAGGACAGGCTCACTCGACTCCATCCTCGCCTCTTTGTAGGGTGACTCTTATTGAATCATAAGAGACCAGGATGTATTTGTCTAAAGGGCGTATTTGCCAAGGTCTTTAAAGCTTGGCTCATCAAGTGGCCTAGTTTCTGTCCAAGAGACCTCCTCTTAGAGGATCTGGAATGTGCAAGGGAGCCTAAGGCCGTCCTTCTGCAGCGTCTCCTGGCAAGCAGGGCTGGAGAGGGATTTGCTATTCTGCGGCAGGGGAGCAGAGGTTCCGGGGCCTGCTTCGTCATCATCTGGGCAATGGGAGGCAGGCACAGAGCCTGCTTTGCTGGTGCGGACCGCACCTGTGGCCGTATGATCCCGAGGCTGATCCTGTATCTTGGCAGCAGTGGCGGTCCTGAGCAAGCACCTACAGAAAGACCTCCTGATTCTGGCAGAACCAGAAGGTCTTTTAATGGGTCAGCGCTGAGATGCTCTGGGACCCCTTCCTGGAGGCTCACTGGAGCCTACTGCCTTCTCCAGCCCTTCCAGTACAAAATGCCCTGGATTAAATTCCTTTCTGCTTAATGACACTGATCTCTGATATCTGCAAATGAATCCTGACATACCCTTACATAGAAAGAGCCCCTTTAATGGTCAAAAATTTGTACAAGGATCTTCCCTGTATTGTTTTTGTAATAAGTTAAATCCAAAACAACCTAAATGTCTATCAGTAGAATAGTGGCTAAATAAATCACCACGTATTACGTAACCTTCTTTAAACAATGAATCGTTTCTCCAAATATTGAAATCTGAAGATGTCTTGGATGTATTTTTTCATTCATTCAACAAATATTTATTGAGCTTCTACTGTGATGTGACCATGTGCCAGCCACTGTTATACAGACAAGAGCTATAACAGCAAGCACAACAAACAAAAATCTCTGCCCTCACAGAGCTTACGTTCCAACCACAAAGTGAAATGGATGTCAGAATAAACGCACAGTGTAATCAAATTTACAAAACACACACACTCTCTCCACACTCACTAATATGTGTAAAGAAAAACATCTAGAGGAATACACAGTAAACCACAAGCAGTGGTTATTTCTGAGGCTCATCTATCTGACTGCAGAGACAGCAGCTGCTCGTGAGGTCCTCACTGGTTGGTATCCCACTCTGGGGGATTCTAACAGTCTTATGGACAGAAATATTCAGTCCGGCTCCACCTGCCAAGAAAAGAGATGGGAACATTTATATGTTGATCTAGTTCAAAATAGCAAATAATACTTCTTGATTTGTTGTTACGTTTTTGGTAACTTAAGAAGTATCCCATGATGTTTAGTGTAACATTTACTCTATTATCCTTCTCTCCTCTGGACTAAAGCTGAATTGCGGAAATGAGAGGGCAGGAGGAGTCAGCTGAGTGGAGGTCGGTCTTAGATGTAGGATAACTGAGTAAAATGAAAATATTTACATAATGACGTGCCTAGGGGAGGAAGGAACAGGAAAGTTCCCGCACAAACTTACTGTTAATTCATTTCCCATCTTCACAGACTCACTCACTGGGCTTTCGGCTTGCATGTCTTCCTTCCTTTCTTTTTGAGATGGAGTCTCACTCTTGTTGCCCAGGCTGGAGTGCAATGGCACAATCTCGGCTCATTGCAACCTCCACCTCTGGGGTTCCAGCCATTCTCCTGTCTCAGCCTCTTGAGTAGCTGGGATTATAATTGTGTACCACCATGCCCACCTAATTTTTTTTTGTATTTTTAATAGAGACAGGGTTTTACCATGTTGACCAGGCTGGTCTTGACCTCCTGACCTCAGATGATTCACCCGCCTCGGCCTCCCAAAGTGCTGGGATTTATAGGCATAAGCCGCCGCACCCAGCCCTTCCATGTCTTTCAATATGCATAGTCTAATCATCTAATTTAGCTGCAAATTATTTTAGCAGAGACAACCAGGTACATCCTAAGATTAACTTTTACAACAGTCTTCCAATACAATGGCATGCTTGCTGCAGTCCAGGGAAGAAAGATATTGTTACTGTAGAGAGATGCACATTCTGTTTCTTCTATTTGCTATGTTTATGTGTACAGTATATGTATGAAGTATAGCTATGCATCGTTCTCATATAGGAAGATAAGCATGACTAAAGGGGAATTGTGAGACCATCAGACAATTCCAGGAAAAGCTGGGAACACACCTAGATCAGGAGTGACAGATTAGCACAGGTGCTCACATACAAGACCGGATAGAAAAACGTCTAGCAGGTTGCAAGATGGGGATGGCCAGGGGTACCTATGAGAGGGCCAGGTGCACAGATGTGATGCCTCATTTCCTAGGAGATGAAGTCTCCAGCTGACCCTTGTAATTCTCATGAGATGACAAAAAGGCAAATAGCAGTGACCTGAATTTAATGGCTATGAGAGGCAGAAAAGAAAGGTAGCAAGGCAGGAACTGGATGGAAGGAAGAGGTAGAGAGGAAGAGGCTGCATTTGTGTTATTCACGCACCAGTCTCTCCATCAGTGTCTCCCCGGAGCCTCAGCCAGGCTCCTGCAGGCAGTGGCCGCACCGGGTAGGACCCGGAAAGCGCCCTTGTGATTTTAACAGCCAGCATGGAACCAGGGTGGAGTAGAGACAGTAGACATATCAAATGTCAGGCCAAAGTTTGAATTTGGAGCTTTGCTTATAGAAAAACTGTGATCAAATACCTGGGCATCCCAAGTCAAATGACTTGATAAGTGACTTCACGGTGGTTTTGGACTCCGAGGGCGTTGGAGATGTTCAATTAACACAGACACCAGGTCACTGGCCAGAAACATTTATCTTGGAGGACTCCGGCTCTTCACCCACAGTTCTGCATGGCAATGAGCAAATCAGATTGAAAAGGTGGAGGACATCCCTATGGAAAAAAAAAAAGACAGAAGAAAACACAGCTGATCTGACATGGAGAAGATAAAGCTGGAAGGAAAATTCAAAATTCAACATCCTGTTTTCTCTATCAGCTTTGGCTCTTTAGGAAATAATGTAGATATTGCTCTCAATTTTAAAAAAGTTGTTTTCCTCCAAAATGGTCAGAAATAATATTTTTATCTGTAGAGTGACTTGATAGTAGCTCTAAATAAAATGTACAGCTATGCTGTAAATTGTGGAAAATGCAAATGTTACTGATCATAACTATCTCACTTACTGTCAATGGTGGTTGCAGGGCTTGTCAGCAAGTGCTCCAACCCCCATGTAGCACACGGAGGCTGGAAAGACGAAATCTCAGAGCTCTCCTGCAGCTGGGATTTTGGGTGTGATCTAAGTTCCACCAATCAGAAAGATGTGGGCAAGACCTGGAGTGGGACCTGAGTCAGGGACAGAGAGGCAGGGCACGGGGCATTCACTATGTGGACAGAGACTTGGCAGAGACAAGATCCTTCTGGTGCTGATAACTGCGGTGGCAGGTTTCCCAGTCCCGTCCTGGTGGAGGGAGCAGGTTCCCTGGTGGTCCAGTCGTGTGTGGAGACTTTGGGAGCTGCTCCTGGAAGCTCAGCCTTCCCAACAATTCTGCAAACCATTTAACACCTTTCTGCCTAAGCCAACGAGAGTGTGATCCATTACACATGACAGAATCCTGATTCAGACACTCTTGCCTTCTAAGCATAAGAGTGGTAACAGCACTCTAAAATCACACTGCAATTCTGCACGAGGTGAAGCTCCTGCTCTCCCCCAAATACCCTGGTGTGATCTTTGTGAGGTTTCTAAGTTTAAGCACAGACTCATAGAAAGTCTTAAACGATAGATTATCAGCCCAATCCTCAATCCTCTCATGCATGGCTTCCTCATCTAGGGGACTTTGGCATGTCATGTGATCTCCCTGTGAGTCAACACAAGAACTCCCAATCTTCTCATTGCTAAATCACTGCTCTCTTCATTGTATCATATTGCCACAGCTGTTTTGCAACATGCCTAATTTATGAGAATAGTTCAAACAGAATGTTTCTGGAAGCGTATTTTAATAAGGTCAGTGGAAGTTTAAAACATTTACTGATGGTTTGGAAGTTAATCTAGCTGCTCATAAGCTTCTGTGATTAACTTTATGTGTACTTAATTCTCTAAGCTTTCTTCTGTTGCTTTGTAAACATGAATAGAATTCATTTAACAGAAACAGAATTTGAAACATTTAAACCACACTGCCTTAACACTGTTGACTTCACAGCCCTTTCTGAGTGAAAAAAAAAAAAAAAATCAGTAAACTGAAAACTCCATTGGAAAAAATTACCAGGAACTTTGGAAATTGTAGGCGGCTGGGTTTTAAACAATGTTTTAAAAGGTTTACTGAGAGGAACTGGTTTTCATATTTTCCCCTTTATGTTACATAATAAAATTCATCTACTTAAACGACAAGGTAAGACATAGAAAAGTCAGACCGGGGTTCATACTTTACGGAATAAAATCAGGTGGTGAAGGCAGAAAGACAATGAAATCAGGTTAGGAGCAGAAATACGTTTCCTCTATCTGTGCCAGCCACTCTCAGGAAGGTAATGGACAAACAAAATGGGCTACCTCCTTACCAGTCCATTTAAATGACTCAGTACCCAAGACCTCCCAGGAGGATTATTTTAAACAATGCATGTTCATTTCCTTCTTTGATAATTTAATAAGAACAAAACAGAGAAGCCTACATTCTGCTGAGGCATTCCCTTCAGTCATCCACGTTTCTCTGGAATCCAAAATATCAAATAATAAATAGACTAATTTAGACTCTTCATAAGAAAAAAGCAAGGACACAAGAAATCCATTTCCAGTACCCCCGCCTTCTTGCATCCCAAGATGACATTTCAAACACAGTCTCCTTGGCGAGAACAGTAAGAGTCAGTATGATAAAACCCTGTCTTATTTAAGCAGATTAGAGAAATGCCCACTACATACCCACCGTCTTATGTAACAGCGATGTGTGTTGTGTGCGTGTGTGCGTGTGCGTGTGTGTGCGTGCGTGTGTGAGTGTGTGTGTGCGTGTGTGTGTGAGGGAGTCACAAAACAAAGCCTGAATTGAATAACCAAAGAAAACACTTATTAATAAAGCTACTGGGTTCATTAGTATGTACTTTAATTATAAATAAGCTTGAAATTCCTTGCAGAAGCTTATCTATAGAATTGTTTAGAAACCACTAATAACAGCCCTAGCAATAAATGAAGTATTACATTTCCTCTGTTCCAATGAAGAAAACTCTGTAGTTGGCCGGGCGCGGTGGCTCAAGCCTGTAATCCCAGCACTTTGGGAGGCCGAGACGGGCAGATCACGAGGTCAGGAGATCGAGACCATCCTGGCTAACACGGTGAAACCCCGTCTCTACTAAAAATACAAGAAAAGTAGCTGGGCGAGGTGGCGGGTGCCTGTAGTCCCAGCTACTCGGGAGGCTGAGGCAGGAGAATGGCGTGAACCCGGCGGGGCGGAGCTTGCAGTGAGCCGAGATCGCGCCACTGCACTCCAGCCTGGGCGACAGAGCAAGACTCCGTCTCAAAAAAAAAAAAAAAAAAAAAAGAAAACTCTGTAGTCTATAAAGAGTATTAATAGAGAAACAAATCTTTAAAACAAATTTCTAAATAATTAAAAAAAATATTTTGCAAAATCTTTAAGGATATAGCCAGATATATCTTAGCAAATTCATTAAGTGCCGGAAAAACTGCAAGATACCACTACAGGATAAACATTTGTTCAAGGCTAGCTACTGCCCGTAAGGCTGAGGTTAAGTTCTAAACTCAACCTGTAAAGCAACAATCACACATGTGGTCAAATTAGCCTTGAAAATCCCTCCAGTCACTCAGAAATATGTGCTTTTGTAAACGTGACTGTTTATAAACACACCATCTCTCTGTAAGTCTCACACATTCACTTTCCCTCCAGCATTTCAGAGTTGGCTGCTGCTTCTTTTTTTTTCTTTTTTTTTTTTTTTGAGACAGAGTCTCGCTCCGTCGCCCAGGCTGGAGTGCAGTGGTGCAAACTCGTCTCACTGCAAGCTCCGCCTCCCGGGTTCACGCCATTCTCTTGCCTCAGCTTCCCGAGTAGCTGGGACTACACGTGCCCGCTACCACACCCGGCTAAATTTTTGTATTTTTAGTAGAGATGGGGTTTCACCGTGTTAGCCAGGATGGTCTCGATCTCTTGACCTTGTGATCCACCCGCCTCGGCCTCCCAAAGTGCTGGGATTACAGGCATGAGCCACCGTGCCCGGCCTGGCTCCTTCTTTAGCTATTTCACAGATGAAATAGCTCCTTTGTGTTTAGGGGCCACATTTAAAACAACAAAAATGAAGCATGTGTTCTACCCACCCCCACCATATAAAGTTATAATAGTAATAGATAATTTCACTGAAACAAATAAACATGTGTCTATGACTCCACCGTACATGCCAGGCATGGTACCACATGTCTAAAGTTATCCAATTTAATTTTCCACAAAACTCCCACATATTAGCCTTTATTTTAGATGAAAATTTGACGAGAGTCATGTGGCTCATAAACGGTGAATCTGGGATGCAAATCCAGCTATATTTGGCCATGCTTTCTCAAATTTTCTGTAGTGCACGAGTGTTCTGTGAGAAGTATTCACGGTTCTAAAAACAATACTGACAGTATTTCTTCTTAAAATTTATTTTAAGCATATTGAAGAAAAAACACTCCCGATATTCCAGTGTTATTTTTATATAGTAACCTGCTCTTATGAGGTGGCAACCCATACCTGAGAATGACAGTTGGAGGCCAGACCGCCCGAGGCTGTGTCACACACAGCAGGTGATGTGCACCCCACAGGCAGGCAGTGTCTCCAGGGAGCAGAGCAAGGTGCATGGCCCTCCTCACTGAACGCCAGTCTGCCTTCTGTGTCTGCTCATTTAAGCACAAACACATAGATGTCTGTATACGTCTGTAATTGTCTTCCTTTAAAACTTTTATTTAACATCTCTAATTTGTGGCTTTCCTTGTTATGTTAGAAAATAAGAGTCTTCAAATGTCAGTGATTGTCTGCAGCATTTATTGGTAAGTACAGGCTGGTGCTGCAAAAGTAATGGCAAAAATTAATTCTGCACCAACCTATCCTTCCTCAAGTCACCGCTTTATGTTGTTGTTTATTCTGACCCAGGCACAGGTGAGCTCCTGGTCTATGATGATTTTTAAAGTATTCAAAGGTTAACTGTGTTTGGGAAGCGTTGCATGGCACCACTGCTACCTTCACAACAGGCAGATTAACATTTGTGAAGGGGAGGGCCGTGCCAACCACATGCTCATGCCTGCTGGGCTCTTTCCGGAACACCTGGATGAAGCCCAGCCCAGGCCTTTTGGCTTTTGATCTCCCAAGGCTCCTCTGTGCCCGTCTAGTTTTTGGACTATTCACCCAGCCACCTGAAGTGTTTTTTTTGTTTTGTTTTGTTTTTTACTTTTATGTCCTGCCTCTGTGCCTTTGCTCATTCCATGCCCTTGCCTGGAATGTAATTTTCTCTAAATACTTCTTGTTTTGCACAAATCTTAAGAGAAATCTGTCACTCTATCATGAGACAGAAATGATGAAGTATCCTGTCTCAGGTGTCAAAAAATTATCTTCTGAATTTCACTTTCAAATGTCTAGATAAGCATATGTAACAATAAAATCACACAGGATAAGCCAGCAGTTTGACCACCAGCATCTTAATCCACAAATCCCAACAAAAATAATCAAAGACACAGTAAAAACCTTGTAGTCGGGTATCATCTACAGGCTTAGACTTGGAAGAATTTCTACTGAGAGAGTGAGAGACCATGGAAAGAAAATACAGGACTTTCCCCCAATTCCCTTCCAGAGAAAATGGAGATACGGGAATCCCTCCACTAACGTCCCCCACCCTAGAGGCCTAGGGCTGGGGAGGAGCACGGGAAGATCCAGGGCATTCTGGCAAAGGATCGGGAACAAGAAGATTCGACATCACAGGAGGCCAAGGGCTCCAGGCACAAAGGACAGCAGTGACAAGGGGGAGGGCAGGAAGAGCCACAGTGTGCATCTAAAAGGGAGGAGGAGGGGCACGCAAACATAGACTCAGTGAGAGCCGGTTCTGCGTTCGAGGCTCACCAAGCAGAGAAGACACTGGGCACAGGTGAATTTCCCTACTAAGCACTCGCCCTTCTCCAGTCTACCTGAGCTTCTGTTCCTCCCAATATGTAATATAAATGCACCTTCAAGAGCCTTCCATCGCATTTAAGTCATGAGAAGATCTGAAGCATTGTCAGGCAAAAGCAGTGGGTCTCAGCAGAATCCACACACTGACCCTGGGCAAACGTTGGATCTGCTTTAGCAAGAGAAGGTGACAGACAAAAATCATGCCCTGCAAATAGCTCATAATACAAAGGGAAGGGGATGCAAATAGCTCATAATACAAAGGGAAGGGGAAACTGCACTCAAGAGAGGACCGGCATTTCTAAATTCATGACTGGAAACAAGAGCTTGACACTGACAGCATCTACCTTAAAATTCAATAAAAGCAGCAAGCAGGGCCCAGTGGCTCATGCTGTAATCCCAGCACTTTGGGAGGCTGAGGCAGGCGGATCACCTAAGATCAGGAGTTCAAGACCAGCCTGGCCAACATGGTGAAACCCTATCTCTACAAAAAATTAGCCAGGCATGGTGGTGCACTCCTGTAGTCCCAGCTATTTGGGAGGCTGAGGCAGGAGAATTGCTTGAACCCGGGGGGCGGAGGCTGCCTGAGCCAAGGTCACGCCGCTGCACTGCAACCTGGGTGACAGAGTGAGAGTCTGTCTCAAAAAAAGGAAACAAATAGATACATAAATAGATAAAATAAGAAAACATAAATGGAGGATGACAATTTAAAATAAAGAAGATAAATTAAAAATAATATAAGCGATCTAATAACCTGTGAAACATATTTCAAAGCAGAACTCAAAAGAAAAAGAAATAAGGGCATATCTAGGGCAGGTCTCTGAATGTAGATGAAATAAACCAAGTCAAGGTAGGATTTCAATTCAGTGGGCAAAGAATGGTTGTGGTAATAAATAGTGCTGGCACGATCGGCTGTCTGCCTGAGGCAGAAAGACCCACACCTCACATCAGATTAAATAAAGAGAGGCGGATCAAACATCTCCATGTATGTACATAAAATAGATGAACACATTTAATAGCATATTTGCATAAGACTGGGGAGGGTAAATCTTTAAAAAACCAGAAACCAGGAAAACACTGGCAGTTTACATAACAATATAAAATTGTCTATGACAAAGATGCTAAGGCCAAAAGGCCCATAATATACTGAGGAGAGAAACACAGCCTTGGCTGGGCATGGTGGCTCACAATTGTAATCCTAGTGATTTGGGAGACGAGGCGAGAGGATCACTTGAGCTCAGGAGCTGAAGACCAGACTGGGCAACAGAGTGACGCCCCATCTCTACACAAATTAGAAAGAATTAGCCACACATGATTGTGCATGCCTGTAGTCCCAATTACTTGGGAGGCTGAGCTGGGAGGACTGCTTGAGGCTGAGAGGTTGAGGCTGCAGCAAACCGTGATCGCAACATTGCACTCCAGCCTGGACTACATACAAGAACCTGGCCAGTGTCTCAGAATACATGTAAGAAACACGGCATCTCATACAAGATTTACCCTCCCCAGTCTTATGCAAATATGCTATTAAATGTGTTCATCTATTTTATGTACATACATGGAGATGTTTGATCCGCCTCTCTTTATTTAATCTGATGTGAGGTGTGGGTCTCTCTCCCAGGCAGACAGCCGGTCATGTCAACACTATTTATTACCATTCTTTGCCCACTGAATTGAAATCCTACCTTGACATGGTTTATTTCATCTACATTCGGAGACCTGCCCTAGATATGCCCCTATTTCTTTTTGAGTTCTGCTTTAAAATATGTTTCATAGGTTATTAGATCGCTGGGTGACAGGGTGAGACCCTGTTTCAGAAAAAAAACAAAAACCTTCCTCCAAATAACAAAAGAACTCACATCCCTAATAAAATGCTGACTTATAAAATGATGAGAAAAAATCAAAAGAACCCACATCCCTTAATAAAATACTGACTTGTAAACTGATAAGAGAAAAACAATCAGCTCAGTGAAAAAATAGGCAAAAGTGCTAAACTACCAATTCTGGAAGAGAAAATTCCAGTGTTAAGGCTGGTACCGGAGTTTCTGACTCTCCCACCAGGGAAAGGTCAGCCGACTAGTCCAGAGAATGGCAGAGCTTAAGGAATCTTGAAAACTGCCTACTCTTCCCATTTATTTTAACAGAGGCAGGAGGCAGGGCTGGGAGTGAGATACTGCTGGTTGACTACGAAGATAAGACTGCCACCACCTTCCTTCCCCACGTACCTTAACATCAGTTATTCTGACTCTGAAATAAAATATGTGTGAAAGTGTCACAGGACTGAAGATCATTGATGAGTCAGACACATTCCACCTGTGTAGTTACGGAGTTCCTGTAGTAAATGCTGACTTGCATTCCGGCTTGGGCACTTCACCTCCTGCCCATCGGCCTGGCTGCAATCAACCCCGTGAGTGCCCATGGACGCAAACAGAGCTTAAGAACCAGGCAATCCCGTGTTAGGATCCAGGTGCTTTTGGGGTGATCTTACCTTCTTCTCAGTCGTCCTTGACCTCGTCAGAGAATGCTCTGCAAGTTCTTTGACTGTGGCTGAACCAGGAATGACTTTTGAGTTCTCATTAGATGACTGTCAAAGTCAAATTGGGTTTCAATCAAGAACTCACTCGGCCAAGATGGAAACACTGAATGGCTTCTGGAGCTTGGAGGGTGTGAGTTGGTTTCAAGTCTTGCTCTTGGGGTAGGTTCTGGAAGTGGCTGAGCCATCAGCGAGTAACTCCCCAGTAGTCAACTCTTCAGAGGCGGCAGCTTGCCAGAGAAGTGCAAAATCAGACAAGAAACCAGCATTGCCGGCACTGTCTGACTTCCTGCCAAATGCAACGACAGGCAAAAATGTTCTGAAGCCTGATTTCAGTACCATGACATGTTCTCACTGGTGTTAGTTCTAAAATTTTGAAATGTTTTGTGGTGAGGGATTAAACTGCTAGATTGAGAAGGTAGGTTTGTGAATCACTGTAATATCAAAAAAGAAACATTCTGTGTTAAAAAGAAAAAGTGACATTAAGATTGAAGATGCAGGATGCAGCATAGGGAGTCCTAAACTGCCAGGACGCATGCAGAGATTTCCTAGAATATCAGGGTTCACGTTGCATAGTCTGGCCTGTGTCTCAGAATATATGTAAGAAACACGGCATCTCATGCAAGAATCTATTCGGGGCCACCATAGAAACTCAGGACTTGTCTTTTACCATTTATCATTAAAATAATGTCCATGTGGGCTGGGTGTGGTGGCTCATGCCTGTAATCTCAGCACTTTGGGAGGCCGAGGCAGGCAGATCACGAGGTCAAGAGATAGAGACCATCCTGGCTAACACCGTGAAACTACGTCTCTACTAAAAAATACAAAAAACTAGCCAGGCGTGGTGGCAGGTGCCTGTAGTCCCAGTTACTCGGGAGGCTGAGGCAGGAGAATGGCGTGAACCCGGGAGGTGGAGCTTGCAGTGAGCCGAGATCGCGTCATTGCACTCCAGCCTGGGCAACAAGAGTGAAACCCCGTATTAAAAAAAAAAGGAAAAAATCGCCATTCTGACTGGCATGAGGTGGCATGTCATTGTGATTTTGATTTGCATTTCTCTGTCGAGCTTTCTTTCATATGTTTGTTGGCCACATGGATGTCTTATTTTAAGAAGTGTCTGTTCATGAACTTTGTCCACTTTTTAATGTTTTTTTTCTTGTAAATTTGCTTAAGTTCCTCATGGATTATGGATATTAGACCTTTGTCAAACAGATTGCAAAAGTTTTCTTCCATTCTGTAGGTTGTCTGTTCGCTCTGATGACAGTTTCTTTTGCTGTGCAGAAGCTCTTTAATTAGATCCCATTTGTCAATTTTTGCTTTTGTTGCAATTTCTTTTGGTGATTTCACCATACAATCTTTGCCCATGTCTATGTTCTGAACGGTATTGCCTAGATTTTCTTCTAGGGTTTTTATAGCTTTGAATTTTACATTTAAGCCTTCACTCCATCTTAATTTTTGTATAAGGTGTAAGGAAGGGGCCCAGTTTCAATTTTCTACATACGGCTAGCCAGTTCTCCCAGTACCACTTACTGTGCAGGGAATCCTTTCCCCTTTGCTTGTTTTTCTCAGGTTTATCTAAGATCAGATAGTTGTAGATGTGCAGACTTCTCAGTTCTCTATTCTGATCCATTGGTCTATGTGCCTGTTTATGTATGAGTATCATGCTTTGGTTACTGTAGGCTTGTAGTATAGTTTGTCCTCTACAATCCTGTGCTTAATATGCCCTGGTAGCTTGTTTTTAGCTTTGTTTTTGCAGTGTATCCATACTGATACACATCCTGCTAGGTAGTTACTTTAGTTGCTGCATAGTATTCCACTGTCTGCAAAAGAAACTATCACCAGAGCTAACAGACAACGTACAGAACGGGAGGAAATATTTGCAAACTATGCATCCAATACAGGTGAAATATCCAGAAATCCATAAGGAACTTAAATAAATTCATTACCAAAAACAAAACCGTGCCATTAAAAAGTGGCCAAAGGATGTGAAAAGACACTTTTCAAAAGAGGACGTACACCTGGCCAACAGGCATATGAAAAAATGCTGAACATCACTAAACATTAGAGAAATGCAAATAAATCAAAACCACCGGGAGATACCATTTCACACCAGTCAGAAAGGCTATTACTAAAAAGTCAAAAAATAATAAGATGCTTGCGAGGTTGTAGAGAAAAGCAAACACTTGCACACTGCTGGTGGAATATAGATGAGTTTAGCCACTGTGGAAAGCAGGTTGGCGACTTCTGAAAGAACTTAAAACTACCACTGGACCCAGGAATTACATTATTGGGTATATACAAAAGGAATACAAAACATTCTACCATAAAGACATATGCATTCATATGTTCATCACGGCACTATTCACGGTGGGAAAGACATGGAATTGACCAAAAGGTCCATCAAAGGTAGATTGAAAAAAAGAAAATGTGATATATATACACCATGGAACATTATGTATGCAGCCACGTAAAAGAAAGAGATCATGTCCTTTGAAGAAACTTGGATGGAGCTGTAAGGCCATTATTCTTAGCAAACTAACACAGAAACAGAAAACCAAATACCACATAGTCTCACTTCCAAGTGGGAGCTAAACATCAAGTACACATGGACGCAATCAAGGCAACAACAGTCACCAGGGCCTACTTGAGGGTGGAGAGTTGGAGGAGGGTGAGGATCAAAGAGTTACCTAGCGGGTACCATGCTTATTACCTGGGTGATGAAATTATCTGCACACCAAATCCCCATGCCATGCAATTTATTGATGTCACGAACTTGCACATGTACCCTTGAACCTAAAAGAAAAGTTAAACAAATAAAAGAAAAAAGAAAACGCTGTAATAAATATCATTGTCTTTTCTTTAGTCCATTAATTAACGTTACTAAATAGCTGTGTATTTACCAGGTAACCTAAGCTTGATGCCTAATAGATTTCTTTCTAGATTGGGGTGGAGGGTGTCTTTGCATGAGAAAATATTTTCCAGTTACATTTCATGTGCAAAACCTGACTGTAAGCTCTAAGGGGACAGGGACCTTGTCTGCTTTATTCACCACTGCATTCCCCTTGTCTACACAGCGTCAGACATACGGGAGGCACTTAATGAATATTTGATGAATGAATGAATGAACACTGGGAAGGCAGCACTGCAGGGTCATTCATTGGGAAGTTGTGATAAAGAATAAGGAAGGGAGGGGAGACCTGGAGACAGAGCAAGACGGCCAAATAGAATCCTCCAGTGATTCTATTCCTCCCTGAAGTAACACCAAATGGAACAACTACCCACATAAAAAAGCATTTTCTTTTTTTTTTTTTTTTTTGAGACGGAGTCTCGCTCTGTCACCCAGGCTGGAGTGCAGTGGCGCTATCTCAGCTCACTGCAAGCTCCGCCTCCCGGGTTTACGCCATTCTCCTGCCTCAGCCTCCCGAGTAGCTGGGACTACAGGCGCCCGCCACCTCGCCCGGCTAATTTTTTTTGTATTTTTAGTAGAGACGGGGTTTCATTGTGTTAGCCAGGATGGTCTCGATCTCCTGACCTCGTGATCCGCCCGTCTCGGCCTCCCAAAGTGCTGGGATTACAGGCTTGAGCCACCGCGCCCGGCCAAAAAAGCATTTTCATAAGAACCAAAAATCGGGTGAACGTTCACAGCGCCTGGTTTTGACATCCTATCAAGGAAAGAGGCACTGGAGAAAGGGGGAAAGACAGTCTCAAATCTCCTACACCACCTCTCCCTCATCCCCTGGTTAGCAGCCACGTGGTGCAGAGACAGAACCTGTGGCATCCAGGGCAGGGAGAGCTCAGTGATTGTGGGACTTTACCTTGAAACTCAGTGCTGCTCTGTCACAGTGGAGAGCAACACAAGGCAGAATTCGGCCAGCACCCACGGAGGCAGCATTTAGACCAGCCCTAGCCAGAGGGGACCCCCCCCTCCCGGTGATCAAAACCCGAGTTCCGGTAACCCCACCATCACCACTGCAGGCTAGAGTGCTTTGGGGTCCTAGAGAAATGTGAAAGCCGGTCCAGGCCACAAGGACTGCCACTGCCGGGCGAGGGCTGGTGCTGCACTGGGCTCAGAGCCAGTGAACTTGGGATGCAGGTGACCCAGTGCAACACCAGGTGTAGCCAAGGGAGTGTTAGCATCACACCTCCTCCTGGAGCTGAAGGCCGCCCAGCTCACAGCTCCAGGAGAGGGAAGAGTAAGAAGCACTTTGCCTTGCAACTTGGATACCAGCTCAGCCACAGGAAAACAGAGCGCCAAGTAGATTCCTGAAGCGGCCATTCCAGGGCCTAGCTCTCAGATGACATTTCAAGACACACCCTGGACCAGCAGGGAGCCCACTTCCCCGAAGGGAGGAAGGACCCAGTCCTGGAAGGGTTCATTACCGGCTGACGAAAGAGCCCTTGCTTGGGTCTTGAATGAACATCTGTGGTAGCCATGAGTCCTAGCCACCGGCCTCTAGCAAGATTCAGTATCGCGCTGGCTTCACGTCCGACCCAGGACGGTCCCGGTGGTGGGAGCTACAGGGGTGCTTGCGTCCTCCCTCCTCCAACTCCAGGCAGCTCAGCATGAAGAGAGAGACAAGAGGAGTCAACACAAACCACCAATATCAGGGATCAACACACACACTCTTTACAGAGCCTGTAGACCTTCATAAGAACTAAGAAGATCTGAGGAAATACGTAGGTCTAAAAATACAACAGAGAACACAATGCACCACATTTTACAAAGCAACGTACCCAAACTAACCCAAACATAGCATGAAATAGAAAAACTCCTATGTCTATTAAACAAATTGAACAAATTCTTGGAAAAAACCCAACAAACAAAAATGTTTCACAAGTAAAACTCCCAGCTCATTTATGGACTACTCCATACATTTAAGGAGCAAAAACACCAACATTTCCCAGACTGCTGGGAAATAAGAGTATTTTTAAAGTTTTGTGTGGAGCCAGTATTAGCTTGAGGACACAACTGGACCAGGACACATTATGGAACAAAAAAGAAGAAAATTATGTCACCTCTTTCATTTTTAAATTTTTTATTATTATACTTTAAGTTTTAGGGTACATGTGCACAATGTGCAGGTTTGTTCCATATGTATACATGTGCCATGTTGGTGTGCTGCACCCATTAACTCGTCATTTATATTAGGTATATCTCCTAATGCTATTCCTCCCCCCTACCACCTCCCCCCTCTCCCATCCCCACAATAGGCCCTGGTGTGTGATGTTCCCCTTCCTGTGTCCAAGTGTTCTCATTGTTCAATTCCCACCTATGAGTGAGAACATGCGCTGTTTGGTTTTCTGTCCTTGTGATAGTTTGCTCAGAATGGTTTCCAGCCTCATCCATGTCCCTGCAAAAGGACATGAACTCATCCTTTTTTGTGGCTGCATAGTATTCCATGGTGTTTATGTGCCATATTTTCTTAATCCAGTCTATCATTGATGGACATTTGGGTTGGTTCCAAGTCTTTGCCATTGTGAATAGTGCCACAATAAACATACATGTGTCACCTCTTTCATAAACAGTATCTCCTCTTTCATAAACAGAGCTACAAATATTCTAAGCAAAATATTATATGAATGAAGCCTTCTACGAAAACACAGATTAATACCAAGTGGAATATACCCCAAAATGCAAGGGTCCTAAACATTCAAAATAAATCATGTAAGTCATCTCAGTAGCAGAAAAATACAGGCAAAAATAGTAAGATCATTTACGTTAAGTTTTTTTTTTTTTTTTTTGAGACGGAGTCTCACTCTGTTGCCCAGGCTGGACTGCAGTGGCCGGATCTCAGCTCACTGCAAGCTCCGCCTCCCGGGTTCACGCCATTCTCCTGCCTCAGCCTCCCGAGTAGCTGGGACTACAGGCGCCCGCCACCTCGCCCGGCTAGTTTTTTGTATTTTTTAGTAGAGACAGGGTTTCACCGTGTTAGCCAGGATGGTCTCGATCTCCTGACCTCGTGATCCGCCCGTCTCGGCCTCCCAAAGTGCTGGGATTACAGGCTTGAGCCACCGCGCCCGGCCTAGGTTAAGTTTTAAAAAAAACATTTAATAACGTTTAAAACTGAACCATAAAAACAACTTTGAGTAAAATATAAAAGAAGGCAACTTCCTTAATTTGAGGGTTTGTCTAATATGAGCCTGTAACAAACAACATAATCAATAGAGAATTACAGGAAGCTTTTCCCCCAGTGCAGGATCAGACGAGATGCCTGCTATCACTCTCTATTCAGCATTGTACTGGAGAAACAATACAGCAAGAACAAACAAATAAAAGGTATTAGGATTAATTTTTAACGCCCCCAAAAATTGTCAATATGTGTGTGTGACACTATTACATGCTTAGACAATCCATAACCCCAAAACTGTTACAGTAACATACTGGATACATGATTGTTATCAACCAGATTACTGTATACTAGTACAAAATCAACAGAAAGTAACTAAATAATGATCGAACTAGAGAACAAGTATCTATGACAAAAATGAGGCAATAAAGGATTAATTTACAGATTTAAGATAAATCCTTCAAATCAATATAGAAACCAAAAAAGCACCCTACAGAAACTTGCACAACACGAGCAAGGCATATGAAGTAAGGCACAGAAGCCAATCAACATTTGCTAAACTCTACCTCACACGAAACCCGCCACAGCCAGGTCCAGGTGAGAAGATCCTTGGAGAAACACTGCAGGGCAGGATCCCTGGAGGCAGGACCACTGCGGAGGTGATGGAGCCCCTGCAGTGGGAAGGGTGTCAGGCCCAAGAGGGCCGGGTGGCTCCAGACCTCCTGCTCCAGCTTCCCCTCACTCCCCGCACCAGGCACAGCCCCACGTGAGCGCCCCAATGCAGGGAGGATTCTGAGTGCCCGTGTCTTCTCCGCCACTGTGTGTGCCCTCCGGTGGCAGCTCCTCGCCCACCATATCATTCCAGCCTTCCCTTTTATGAGTCACGTCTCTCTCCCCAGTCACAATGCCAGAATCCACCCAGGAGGGTAGAGATGGGAAATCAAACCGTGGCACCACGAGTGGAGACCCTGGAGGCAGACATGGGTGCAGGCACTGAGAGTGGAAACACGCGAGGCCTGGCCGACCAGTGACAAGCACAGAGGATGGGGACATTCAAGGGCAGACACGGGCTGCAGGCACAGGAGAGAAGACCTGGACTAGAGTCATAAGGGATCCAGATACAAAGGGAGCTCACTGGCTACAGAGGCATGGCAGAGAGGCACAGCAGGGACAGACATGGGTACGGGTGCAGGACAGAGGAGTAGGTGAAGGCCGGCGTGGGCAGGAAGCACAGAGATAAAAACACCCGAAGGTAGATGTGGCTGTAGGCTGAAGGATGGAGTCACAAGAATCCTGCTGTGGGCTGCATGGACAAGGGCTGGAGACACAGGAAGACAGGGCTGGGAAGCAGGCGCACTCAATGACAGGCCTCTGCTGCAGTAACAACAGACGGAGACACCCAACGAAAGAGACTGGCAGCAGGTACAAACACTGGGGATAGGAGTTTTGGGCATAGTCTCCTGGGAGAAATGATTCAGAAAAAGAACAGAAACGGGCTGAAGGCACAGGGGAAGGAGACACACGAGTGCAGACATGACTGAAAAGCATGGATGAAAACAGTGACTGTGGACATGGATTAGAGGGACAGAGAACGCAGCAAACACAGGCTGGCATGGGCAGAAGGTCAGGGGACGGACAGACAAACATCAGAACGGGCTGCAAGCACAGGGATTGAGGCACTGGAGGACTGCTACTGCCTGAAGGCTGAGGAGATGGTAACACTCGAGGCAAGCAATGTGCTGCAAGCACACAGGATGGAGACTCGCACGGCTGGCACAGGCTGCAGGCGCAAGAAATGGAGACTTTTTTTTTTTTTTTTTTTTTTTGAGACGGAGTCTCGCTCTGTCTCCCAGGCTGGAGTGCAGTGGCCGGATCTCAGCTCACTGCAAGCTCCGCCTCCCGGGTTCACGCCATTCTCCTGCCTCAGCCTCCCGAGTAGCTGGGACTACAGGCGCCCGCCACCTCGCCCGCCTAGTTTTTTGTATTTTTTAGTAGAGACGGGGTTTCACTGTGTTAGCCGGGATCGTCTCTCGATCTCCTGACCTCGTGATCCGCCCGTCTCGGCCTCCCAAAGTGCTGGGATTACAGGCTTGAGCCACCGCGCCCGGCCAGAAATGGAGACTTTTGATAGCTGGCATAAACTGCGGGCAGAGGACAGACCAGGACAGGGGACAGACACACAAGGGCAGACGTGGGCTTCAGTCATTAAGGGATGGTGATACTGGAGAGAGGATACAGGCTTCAGGCACAAGGATGGAGGCACACAAAGCCTGATATGGCTGCAGGCATACAGGGCGGAGACACTAAGGGAAGATGTGGGCTGCCAGGTAAATCCCCGCTTAGAGAGAAATGGGACACACATTAAGGGAATGTGTTAGAATAGAAAAAAGATTGAAAATCAATCACATAAACCTCTCAAGAATTAAAAAGGATCAGAATGAAAGAATACAGAATGAAAGTAATAATAAAGAGCAGACATCAATGAAATAGGGAAAAAAATACAATGGAAACAAATCAAGGATAAAAGTTGGTTTATATAGCCAGGCATGGTGGCGGGTGCCTGTAGTCCCTGTTACTCGGGAGGCTGAGGCAGGAGAATGGCATGAACCCGGGAGGCGGAGCTTGTAGTGAGCCGAGATCGCACCACTACACTCCAGCCTGGGTGACAGAGGAAGACTCCATCTCAAAAAACAAAAAAAAGTTGGTTAATAAATATCAATATACTAAATAAACCCCTAGCAAAACTGATTAAGGCAAAGAGAAAAGACACAAAAGACCAATATCAGGAATGAAAACAGAGGCCTGCTCTACAGAGCAGTGTATCAAGATACTACGAAATTTTGAGTAATACTTAGGACTACAAGCTTGACAACAGAGATGAAATCACACCACACTGCAGCACATATGCACCATGGAATACTATGCAGCCATAAAAAAAGATGAGTTCATGTCCTTTGTAGGGACATGGATGAAGCTGGAAACCATCATTCTGAGCAAACTACTGCAAGGACAGAAAACCAAACACCGCATGTTCTCTCATAGGTGGGAATTGAACAATGAGATCACTTGGACACAGGAAGGGGAACATCACATACCCGGGCCTGTCATGGGGTGGGGGGAGTGGGGAGGGAGAGCATTAGGAGATATACCTAACGTAAATGACGAGTTAATGGGTGCAGCACACCAACATGGCACATGTATACATATGTAACAAACCTGCACGTTGTGCACATGTACCCTAGAACTTAAAGTATAATAATAATAAAAAATAATAATAAAAAAGAAATTACATCACATTGAAAAATAAGCTTACAAAACTGGACATAGAAATAACATAAAACAAGAAAACCACCAAATATACTAAAGGATTTGAATTGTTAAAAAGAAAAAAAAACAACAACCAGCTAACAAATAATGTTCCATAAGTCAAATTCCATGCCCAGACTAAAGAAATATTCCAAATATTTAAGGAAGTAAACACCTAAATTTCTCAGACCCTTCCAAAGACAAGAAATACAGGGACTATTTTTCAATTTTGTTTTGTGAAACCAGCATCACGTTGGTACCACAATCTGAACAGGACATTAGACAAAAAGAAAATTCCAGACCCACTCTTTCATTAACAGAAACACAAATATTCTTTTTTTGAGATGCAGTCTCGCTCTGTCTCCCAGGCTGGAGTGCAGTGGCACAATCTCAGCGCACTGCAACCTCTGCCTCCCAGGTTCATGCAAGTCTCCTATTCACCCTCCAGAGTACCTGGGATTACAGGCACCCGCCACCACATCCAGCTGATTTTTGTATTTTTAGTAGAAACAGGGTTTTGCCATGTTGGTCAGGCTGGTCTCGAACTTCTGACCTCAGGTGATCTGCCCGCCTTGGCCTTCCAAAGTGCTGGGATTACAGGCGTGAGCCACTGCGTCCGGCCAGAGATACAAATATTCTAAGAAAAATCATATCATATGAATTAAACCACATGTG